TTGGCAGGACCTCTGCATCACCTCCATGCTCCAAGTGATCCCTCAGGGACTTATAAGGGTCCCCAAAGGGATGCTTCCCATGGGCTACCTAAGCAGCCTCCTGTTGCAGCCATAAGGTATCTTTCCAATTCTTAATCTTCTCTTCTGGTTCTAGTCCTTCATACCTGCTGCCAGCAGAGCCACTTAGAGTAAACTTCATTGTCCTGCTTACTCCAAGAATATCAATGTCCATGACAAGGATCCTGGGCCAGGACATTACCGAAGCATCCATGCTGGTTACAGGCAGAGTAAAGGGCCTGCTTGTGCCCTCTGGGACACACTGCCTTACCTGTGCCCCACCCTAAAGCAGCTATACTTATGGCTAAAGTCTCACAGACTTTTGAACATTTACAGTAACTTCTAACCTTTACCTTCTCTAAGCATAGTGGCTCATATCTTTTTTTCTCCTTAGACATACAGAGAACTATTCTACCATCTTCTCCTCCTACCCCCTTCTATTATTCTCCCACCACCAACTCCTTTCTCCTCACCCTGTACCAAACCTCCCACAAATATAAGCAGAGGGAAAGAGACATTTGAGCTCATCCTTGAAGGATCAATAGGAGTTCACTTCCTGGAAAAGGTGGGAAACAGAGTTTGAGGCAAAGAAAACAAAAGAACAAAGAAGAAGCAGGGCATTCTTGGAAGAATCACAAATAATCAAACAATGGAGAACCTCTTGTTTTTATTCAAAACTCTGCTCAATAGTATCTCCTCTGTGGGATGTTTCCTGGCACACCCCAACTCTTTCTGATCATCATTCTCACTATGTGTGCTAGCATGGAGTACATACCTCTATCAGATCAATATTTACTGAGCAAGAGCTCAGCCAGCATGGCTCAGTGGTTGAGCATTGACCTATGAACCAGGTGGTCATGGTACAATTTCTGGTCAGGGCATATGCCTGAGTTTTGGGCTCACTCCCCAGTTGGGGACATTCAGGAGGCAGCCAATCAATGATTTGCCCTCGTCATTGATGTTTCTATATCTCTCTCTCTCTCTCTCCCCCTTACTCTCTCTAGAGCCCAGCCAGCATGGCTCAGTGGTTGAACATTGACCTATGAACCAGGTGGTCATGGTACAATTTCTGGTCAGGGCATATGCCTGAGTTTTGGGCTCACTCCCCAGTTGGGGACATTCAGGAGGCAGCCAATCAATGATTTGCCCTCGTCATTGATGTTTCTATATCTCTCTCTCTCTCTCTCCCCCTTACTCTCTCTGGAATCAATAATATATTTTTTATTGAGCTAGAAATTGTGCTAAGTGCTAAGAATATAGAAATAACAAACATAATTCTTACCTCAAGATTACGAAATATAAAGGGGAAAAACAGAGAAGAACCAAGATGGCAGTGTAGGTAAACACCAGTTCTCGATGCCTCCCACAATCACATCAAAATTACAACTGAGCCCTAGCCAGTTTGGCTCAGTGGATAGAGGGTCGGCCTGCGGACTGAAAGGTCTCAGGTTCAATTCTGGTCAAGGGCATGTACCTTGGTTGTGGGCACATCCCCAGTAGGGAGTGTGCAGGATGCAGCTGAATCGATGTTTCTCTCTCATTGATGTTTCTAACTCTCTATCCCTCTCCCTTCCTCTCTGTAAAAAATCAATAAAATATATT